AAAGATATAAATGTTATACATTTCACTGTTGAGTGGGTGTAGTTTTATCACTTATTTTGAAGCTATGACAATATAACACAGATGAGTATCTCTGGTATCTAATTCTTCATGTTTCCCATTGAGAGTACTATACAGTACTACTAGACGGTTCCTCAGTGATCCTTCTAAGGAGGTTTCTCTCTTTGAAACTCTTGACGTTTGGCGAATGACTCCCTTAACATAGAAAAGGAAACATTAAAAGAATTTAAAAAAAAAATCTGATTTAAGATTATATTTTCCTCATGACGCTAAGAGGCAAGGCACAATAAAATGTTAGTGTGAAAAGACCCTGGAACAGACATCTGGAGAAGACCCCAGCTTCCTGTGGTCCTTACTGGGATAAGTGGCTTTCTGAAAATGGATGGAGGAATGCAGATGTGTACGATTTTCTATGGACCCGTACAAACAGGAAAAAGAGAGTCCTCCTGCTTGAATCTGACTGGTCCTGTTCGTTTTGTCCATACTTAAGTGTTAGTGACCCTCAATATGCTTGTTAGTAATCTCTAGCGTTGCACTTCTATGACTTGCAGACCCCTTAGAAGACAATCTGTACTCTTTCTAGTGAGGAATTATGCTGCTCTACACTGGCAACAGTATTGACAACAAGGATCTTTTCTATGCATTTGAAATCATTTCATTCTGTGCTGATACTCAAACTTTTGCCCTGATTGTCACTATAGAAGATTCCTTCTCGCTTCATGGCACTGCGTTGCGTCCCTGCCAAGCAAGCCTGGAAGAGCATCAGAGTGGTGAGGCTGCTGAGGAAAATAATTGCCAGAACATTATTATACAAGACCACCTTCTGCACCCCTCTGTGGCCCTCCCTCCTCTCTCCCATGAGTCCTGTCACTCCGGAGGTGGTGTGAGAGACTCCCGCTACGCAGGCTGTTAGCTCGGTGAAGTAACACAGCTTCTTGTTCAGTCATTTCTCTAACATACTCATTCAGTGTTATCTGCAAATCACTTCCGAAGTGCTCTCCTCAGCACTTTTCCCCTTGGAATGGCAGTACAACCACATAATTGAAACTATCTGATTGGAAAGCTGCCAAGCAGGTAGATTACATCCGATTAGGGTGATACCGGCGCTTCACTTAAAGGGATTAGACTGAGCCACTTTATTTATTTTTTTTGTTCCTTTTTTTTTTTCAGAAGGAGTTACAGACAATGCTTTTTGTCACTTGCCAGCACTTTGGGAGAGAAAGGCTGCTTGCTGAACTGTTGTCACAGATAGCTTAATATTCCAGTGGCAGAGTCCTCGGTTATTTTTTTAAACATCTTTTTAAATATTCCTATTTTCTTGCAAAATACGTCACACAGAAATGTATTTATGTATTTTTTATGGCATTTATATGGCCCATTTTAAAGTGCTCTAAAATAACATTCGATTCTTATTCATGTGTCTCGTTCAATTATTGATAGCCGCATTATTACGTTATTACACTTTCTGTTACTCAAAATTGTTAGTTGTGATTTGCCGCTAGAATGTTAATACATGCATCCTTACATTAATTCAGGATTACATTTCAATAGCAATTCAATATCAAATTATTTAACAGAAGAATCAAATAAAAGAAGGGGTTTTAGGAGATTCCAATGATAATTTAAAAATTCATCAAAACTACTGCCACTGTCACCATGAATAATAATATTAACAACATCAGAAAAGGGAAACTGAAAAGAGAATGATCTGCACTGAATAAGGTAGACTGTGTTATATCCTAAAATTGATATAAGTCCCTTCATTTAACCATATGAATTACTGTGATAATGCAAAAAAATACGACATTTCTCTTTACATTTTGGGTTACTCCCATTAAACTTCAAATATTCACTTGAGTTATAAGTTGAGATACAAAGCTTTCTTCAGTTTGTAAATGAAAAAGTAGACTTAAATGATAGAAAATCTACATTCTTCACATATTTGGTAAAATCCAAACCAGATATTTTTTTTTCAACCAAAGAATATCTGGAGGGCTTCTGCCCATTGGGTTTTAAAAAGATCTGCTTACTACTTTCATGTGAAGTTGTCTGAACTGGCGTTTCGAGAAAGGCTTAAGAGCACTGTGTGGACAACCCTGCGAGATGTCCACGAGGATAACTTAGGACTCAGACTCGGCACGAGCCTTTTCTGGGTTTAATAAACCGTAAAGAATACATGCAGAATAACAAATCTAAACTCTAAACACAACAAGGGCACAAAGGAACAATCCAGTCAGACGATGCTCTGTGAGGAAACGCAGCATTCGTTTTTACCGAAGAAAGGGTGAGCTGCACTCTCATTACTTTAAGGGAAACACTCTGTTTCATTATTTTTGCGATCTTAGCCCTTTAAGTTATAAATAATAAAAGCAGTAAGTGCTGAGCTGGTCACAAGCGATTTTCCCATTGGGTTTTGTAATCAAAGCCGACTCTCACCGTCTGACACCAAAGCAAACAGGAGAGGGCTGTCATTAAACCAGAGGAGCTGAATGGCTGCCTGTGAGAAAGCCTCTCGACTGAAGCTTTCTTCTCTTCCCATTCCCTTGGGGATTAGACCAGTGCTTATAATGCATTTTACTGATGTTTTGCCTATCATCATTGGAGCCTCTGAGGCAGAGTTGGAGCTATGTCCATCCACAACCTCAGACTGGGTCACGTCACTTTGCACAATATGAGAAGAAACTGGGATGTGACAGGGTCAAATGTGAACCAAGATCAAACGGAAGTCCGCTGATGGAAAAAATGAACTATTATAAAAATCTGCTTAGTATGTCACGTCTCTGAGATACTGTGTTATGTAGCCTTGCAGTTGTGTTCCTTGTTCTAGTTGTTAAGAATTAAACATTATGAGAGACCACAGAGGCCCACTAGTACAAATCAACTTTTGACAAATCAAAACATAGCAAAGCGCAAAGAATCCTATCAGGACATGTATTCACAACCATCTTCCCTCTTCTCTTCCTTTTGATTTATTTTAACAACTCCAGAAGATGAAAAAATATAAACAAAGATTTATGGTTCAAAAAGCTAGAAAACAGTAATTTAATGGTAGTCCTATCAAATGTTCAAATCCATCCATCCAATTTCTAACAGTTTCTTCCAGTTGAGGAGCTGGGGCCAATCCCAGCAAGCAACAGATGCAAGTTAGGGTACACTCTGGACAGGATGCCAGTCCATCACAGGGCAGGCACATAGACACAAATACACTCACACCTAGAGCCAATTTTCTCTGAAGCCAATTAAGCTCCCAGTATGTTTTTGGACTGTGAGGGGATGATGGAGCACCCACAGGAGACCCACACAAATAAAGGGAGAACATACAAAATACACACAGCACCCAAAGGACGAAATTTAACCCAGGGCCCCAGTGCTGCAAGGAAACAATGCTAATCACTGCACCACCATGCCACCCCAAACGTTAAACATTTGAGTACTAAATGAAGAATGTTATATATATATAAGCTATCTTGAAGAGGAAGAATGATTATAAATTAACTGACAGTCAAAAGAAACACAATACATGTATGTATGTAACATTGGAAAACAGAACATTCAGGTTTTGTATACTGATTTAATATTTTTTGGCCTTATTTGCATTAAAGGTTCATTGATGCTGAAAGTGATGCACTTAATCGACCCTCAAGCTCTAACTCATCTCATTTATTAGAGTTCACTGGGCACAGGTGATGATGAGGTAATTTAACCTGTTCAATATCAATCCTATTGAAGATTAAGAAAGGAAAACTCAGAAAAGAACAACGGATTATGAAAAGAATAATGTTTTCATGTCATCGGTATATTGGAACAACACATCAAGTGGTTTTATTAGAAGTTCAGCCAAGTCCTCTTAAGTGATGAATCAAGGTTTTGTGCTGAGCACTCTTATTTATATCAATGAGTGAATATGCAGAATTATATACTAATTGTTGGGTGCACGACTGACTAATCTATGGAGAGGCACAGGTGAGATGGTCTGGGTAGGAGAGCTTTGTTGCTACAGATCTCCTTTTGTAGTGATTGATGGCAACTTGATTGTATGGTGCTACATGAATGAAGTCATGAGACCTTACATCCTCCTGTTCCAGTACAGTAGGCTTAATCTATGTTGAGAACACTCTGGTGAGACAACAACTAGACTTGAGCCAAAGTGAATGTTTGTATGATTAGCTGGAACAAGGGATGGCTTGGAAGCCTCAGAGATCTGTGAGCAGGCACAGGATTGTCCAGGTTCTATGACAGGAATGGGACAGAATCCCATAGGATTGCATCAGCCACCTGGAGCAAAACTTTCATCACAGATGTACCGCTTATATTGCTTACAGCAGTGGCCCCACACTACACATTACTCGCCTGTGACCTTCACAGTAGACCTCACTGTTGATGACCAATGTTAATCGACATAATGAATTCACCTAAATCACGTCTGTTCAATAAAAACATGTCAGAGCTACAGAAAAGATTGCAATTTTCCAGACGATCACTTTGTTTCAGGTTCGGCATAATTCCATCTATTTTATTCATCGTTTCCAGCAATGTTTTTGCCTCTTTTTCAACAACAGGTTTTGTAGCATTTTTACTGTTGCAATTGTACAGTATGTGAAGTCTTACTCAGCTTTCGTCTCTTCTTATTATTTCATTATGCACAGGGATCACAATAAGATGGCCTGTCATGCACATCTGGTTGTAAGCTTATTAATCTAAATATCTCATACAGTACCTCTCATGTAAGAGGCTTTATTTTGCTGTGATCAAGATTTCAAAAGCTTTGAAAGCAAGAGAAAATATACACCCTAAATTCAGTAGATGGAAGCAGCCAGTGGTTCCCTGGCGAGCAAGTAAAATTTAATCATAGGGCAATAAATAAGGCATGCATGTTGCAGTGCCATTTTAATTCTTGTATTTCTGTGTTTGTTATGCGCACTACTAGTTCAGAAGCGGTGTGATAATTGTGCTGATGGTTGTTGCACCACTGGGTGACTTACCGGTACTGTCGTTGTGCCGGTGAGGGAGGGCGTGCTGGAATCGGTGCCCGGCTGCTCTGAGTGCGTCTGTGTGGGGGTGTAGATGGTCATGGCATGCTCGGGCACTGTGCTCTGCCCCGTGTAGTCCTGCGTGGGGTGGGGGTGTGGCGCTGCATACTCCGCAGGAATCCCGTTCTGAGGCGGCGGGGGGTACTGGGCCGGGGGGTACGGCTGGGCCATCGCTTCTGGGGGGGCTGTGGCCTCTTGGTTACCCTGTTTTTAACAGAAAAACATTTGTTAAATGTGATGCTAATCGTTCAGCTCTTGCTTAAAGAGAGGCAAACCAGTGACCCTCCTCCCCTCCCCATCTCCACCCCTAGGTCTGTGTCGCTTAAAATTCCAAAACTGAATTAGGAGTGCCATTTTAACCCTGATGATGCTCACAATGCACTGCAAGGAAGACAAAACACATTTTTTAATAAGGAAGAAAGAACCCTAGAGGAATTGCGCCCATACTGCAAATTGCTTTCTTAAAAGAATGCTCTCATTTAAAAACAATCTAAATTCCACAAAGGGTGTTTGGAAGGACAAAAAATAAATAAAAAATGACTGACGCGAGAAAAGAATTGATTAAGAAAGGAACAATAAGATGCTTATCTGGAGGGAGTATTTAAAAGCAGATTCACTAGAACTGGATGAATAAATAAAGAGGCAACATTCAAATCTACATAGGATATCTGCGTGGCTGAAGTTTCTGAAAGGAGTCTTTATGACACAGCTGTTTAGACTCGAAGCAACATTGGGGAATACGTACACCATGGTCTGAAGTGCAGTTGGGAGAAAAAGGAAAGAAAACCGATGTAAATCTAATTTCAACTAAATCTGGTCATTAGACGCAAAATCTGTCTTCTGAAACCACTAGAAAATAAATAACAAAAAACATATATAGAAAAGGGTATTCCCTAGTTAGCTTTTAAGCAGCATACTATCAGCTAAAATTGGAAGTGAATGAAAACATAAAAAAGAAAGCAGTAGAAAATTGGTAGAGAGCACATTTTGGGGTCTCGTTTTTCATCTCAGATCACAAAAGGCTGGGGAAATAAATGCTGTCCTGCAAGCTAAATAACTTAGGGAAAGGGCTATCATATCGCGTTTCAGGGCAGATTAAAGAATCGCTTGATCATTATTACCCAACACACTTTATTTTGTAGAACATCGTTCGATAGCAGCACAGGGCTGGAACGAGGGGAATCTAAATTGCTCTCTTGGCAAGCACGAGGCGAAAGATCAATTAACTGATAAATTTTTGATTATAACCTTTGATTTAAATTACAGGTTTCTAATACTAGCAGCCATTTCCCTTCTGTGGGTCCCCCCCCCCCTGCTCTCTCTTTCTCTCCTCTCCAGGCTGAGTGTCAGGGTGTGAATTAGAGTCATCTCGGTTTCTCTTTCTTGCGGTCAGTCCTGGCTCCTGTGCAGGCTTTGTCCTGACACCGTCCTGTCACTCTCAGCACTTGCTTTTCGCTCCCAGGAAAGAGTAGCCTTTCACTGTGATTGACAGCATCGTGTCTCTCTGGGATTCCTTCATCGGGCAGGGGTCATCTTCGCTGTCACTGTGTGATTGCAGGGGTAAGGCAGTAAGGTGGAGGGATGGCGGGTAATATGCTCTCATTTAGGGGGTATTAAGTGTATAGGGACATCCTGTCTGGGGGTAGGGTGGGGGCTGAGGGGTGTTATTTGAGGATATTAATCTAATACTAATCTAGGCTTGCCCTTTGAGACTCAAGCTTGACCCCTGAGCTGAGAACCTGCCACCAAAATGTACAGTTTCTCTCGGAAGCACAGAACAACAAGAAAGCAATAATCCTATCAGCCAGAGGAAGTTGTCTTTTTTCCAGAAGCCAGGAGACACTTCAACATCCTATCCATGGCTAAATTCTCGGTTTCCAAGGGCTAGCTCATAAGTTTCAAATCCATTAATTTATTGACTTTTTCCAGCAAATTGTTTCGTTGTCTTCTTTTTCCCACACATTGTCAAAGCCCAAAACAATTTAGGGAATGTGTCCCATGATCTGCTTACATTTCAGTCTATGTGTTCGAAGTGGAAAATAAATGATCTGTGGTACCCTGGTCCTTTTCATGGAACACTTTCAAACTCAGTATTGTATGTCTCCACCTACTTAATATTGTAAGCTGAGATATCAGTGAGCCATGTAAATTTAGTTTTTGCAATAATAACTGACATATAGACCTAGAATGCATTCTTTCATTTTTAGTCCTCTGACCTACTGTATTGTAAAAGTATGTATAATGTATGGAAAGTACTTTCTTTTTATGAAAACTGACCACTGATGCCTTCAGAACGTTAGATTTCCTTTTAAAATGAAAGTAAATTTATATTCCAGATAATTATATAATATTAACTAAAAATAACTGAAAGTATTTTTTTAAAACAGTGGGGAAAAGTACATTTTTAGTTACAGGAACAACAGGCAATTTAAGCCACTTTTGTTGCTTACTGCCACACTTTGAAACAAGTATGACAGCATGTAAATGTATCAAAAAATGTATCAGGACACTACAACAGATAACTAACATTTAAAAGGGGAATACAGCTCTAATAAAAAGATCATATATATTCTTGAATAAGGGAAGATTTCCAAGCAAGACAATAAAAAATTCAAACCAAATCAATGATTATTATTTCTTCCATTCATCTGTTTCGGAGATATAAAAGAAGACTACAGGGAAGAAAATAAATACAAATGTTATTTCAGTTTTCTTTATTGTTATTAGCCTTTTCCACTGACTAAGCAGCATTAGCTTTCACAGTGCGCCATCGATGATGTTGAAAGAGCCTCTATTTAATAAGAGTGCAGAGAATTGCATTAATGTAAATGTAGTGGAAACAATGAGAGCCGCAGTCATTGACATGTTGGCAAACAAATGAGACTGTCCTCTGAATTAGGGAAATGCTCCATTATCCAAATGAAAAACTATTCTGCTGTACCAGCTAGGAAGCTGGACAGACTTGGCGAGATCTGGATCCCAGGAGGGCTACAGCTCAGTCTGGGGGCTAGCTTGATGTTTGACCCCAGTTGTCTCTTCTGTACTTCCATGCAATGTCTCTCCACCCTTTCCCGGTTCTTTCCTCAATTCAGTTCTCTTCTCTTCCTTGCTTACTTACTAACCTGTTGCACACTGACTTGATCCTTTATTTTAACCTGTCTTTGTAAAGCAATGTGAGATGGTGCTAAACAAATGAAACAACTGAGTTGGGACTAAGGGAAAAAAAAGCTAAAGATGAGTGCTCTTCATTAAACTGTAAATGCAAATGATTGCATTATAGCATCGAGCTAGACTTGAAGGTTACCAGCATCTTTGCCTCTACAACATGTCCCAGTAAACCATTCCATATATTGATAATGCGGTTTCTTACTATTGCAGTGAAAATGGCTTCTAACAAGTTGGCAGCTGTATCCTTGTTTTCTGCTAATTTGAAAGAGCTACTGGGATCATCGTGATTGATTCCCTGTAAACGTCTGAAGACCACAATCTAGTCTCTTTCTGACATTCAGACTCTTTAAGAAATCTGAAACTCCCCAATTGAACCTTCTCTTCACCATGTTTTTTACTGAGTCTGAAAAGACTCTCCTCCTCGCTTTCTCTGCCTCATGCTGTTCGTCCTGCTTTCAGCCCTCCTCTCATTCTTTTAAACTTTCTTTTCACCAGATCCCTCTCCATCCCGTGTCTATATTGTGTAATCTGGCCATCTCCTAGTTTCCGTCCACCTCTCCTTCTCTTCCTTCAGTTTTACATGGATGACTTACAGACAGGCTGAGCTTTTGGGAGATTTGACTCAGATCTCTTAACGTCTCTGACAGGGTCAACGAACTTACCAGATCAAACCAAGTGCGTTGAGAAAATGTGGTGAGGGAGCGTGTTTCAGCATTACATTACTATAAAACTCATTGCTTCCTACAGATCTTCAAACAAGGAAGACAAGCTCCTTGTTGTCAATGTGAATTGCATTTTGTCAAGAAACAAATAAACAAAAATCTTATTATGTTTGTTCTTCAAATGAAAGGAAGTTTTCTAGATTATATCCTATCCAATATTTTTTACGTTACATTTCGATTGTAAATCCTGCTTGGGTGTTTGTGCGTATTTACACAACACAGTGATTACATTATATATATTGTATGTTTACAACCAATTAAGAAATCTTGCTTTGAGCAATCTGTAAGAATAAAGGCAACGACGGGACCTACTGTAACAGTTAACTTCACTAGAATAACATGACATGAACCATGAACCATATGAGCTAAATATAGCAGGTTCATAGAATTAAATCCCATTGTGAAACTGTGTGCTGATCTGTTGACAGATCACTGTTTTTTATTGACATGCCAAAAGGTATAGCTCTAAAAAAAACAATTAGAAAAAACAGAGTGTAAAGTACAGTTTAAGCCAGAATTTAGTTTGCTTGCAAACAAATTGCTTTTCGATACTCTACAAACAAAACCTTATTCTTGATGCCAGTGCCTCAAACCTGATATAAATACCAGTACTGCTACGATTGCCAAAATGTCTTTTTAACTGACAGACAAGGACAAACACTGGTCCTATAGTTTGACGAGAAAATTGTCTTCTCAACCCGTCATAATGAGTTTGGTCAGGATGTGTCAACATCAGTGACCTTTATCATTGCTGTCCGAGTTGAAAAGAAAGACCAGAAGGATTCTTATATATTTGAGGTCTTCCACAGTATGTTAATGCATAAGTTGGAAAAAGCTTATTTGTGACACGAAAGTAAAATTGGACACAAAATAACCAGAGCTCACGTGTTTTAAGTTACACATTATCCTGGTGGCTGTATGTCCTTTACAGCTTTGAAGCAGCTTCTGTATAATGCACCACCCATTACTTCACACTTGTTGACAGGTCACTGTGAACAAAGGAAACTTGAATAGGCGACATAAAAAATTGCACTCAGCCTCTTTTATGAAGTTAGAAAAAAATTGCTTGCCTTGAAGTTTTCTTTTTAATAAACCTAAATCAGAAATTGATATTTAATATATCTCCCTGGCGCAGTGCGTTACGTTTTAATGCACTCGGCACCCTTTCTCTCGGTTATAAAAAATCGCCGCATCCACTTGTCGTAACGCTGGATGTTATTAATGTGGAGGAAAAGGGAAGAGAGAGAGGGTAAAAGAAGCTCGATCAATGTGACTGCAGCCGCTACACGAAAACATCCCCAGATCCTTGTCGAC